CCTCCAACTGACCCTTACACTCTGCACAATAGCCTGACAATTTTTTCACAGCAGGAGTTAACACAAGGGATGATTTGATCAATTATAAATGCTTCTTGTTCCACAGAGATTTTAAATTCAGAATATAAGCCAATATCAATATTACCTGGCATAAATACCATTTTTTATAACATAGATCCATAATCTGGAAACAGGCTAGGAATTTCAGTTCTGTCAGAAGGTAGAGAATTATCCAGGTATCTTAAAATAGGGACACATCTTAACCTCAAGCATCTATATAACTAAGTAGATTTTAATGTACATTTTGAAAAGATTACTACTCTCTTAAGACATTACTTTGCCAAGACATTACTTCAACGACAAAGGTCCATCTAGTCAAAGCTATGGTTTTTCCAGTAGTCATGTATGGATGTAAGAGTTGGACTATAAAGAAAGCTGAGCTCTGAAGAATTGATGCCTTTGAACTGTGGTGTTGGAGAAGACTCTTGAAAGTCCCTTGGACTGCAAGGAGAACAAACTAGTCAATCCTAAAGGAAATCAGTCCTGAATATTCATTGGAAGGACTGATGCTGAAGCTGAAACTCCAATACTTTGGCCACCTGATGCGAAGAACTGACCCATTGAAAAAGACCCTGATGCTGGGAAAGATTGAAGGCAGGAGGAGAAGGGGATGACAGAGGTTGAGATGGTTGGATGGCATCAGCAACTTGATGGACATGAATCTGAGCAAGCTCTGGGAGATAGTGACGGATAGGGAAGCCTGATGTGCTGCAGTCCATGGGGTTGCAGAGTCGGACACGACTGAACAACTGAACTGAACTGAAGAGTTTCATATTTATATATAAAGCAGTTTATGTGTTAATATGAAATCATCCCACTTTCACTCTTACTCTTGAATGATTTATTCCTTTATTTAACAAACTTATTAAGCTACAATGTATTGGGCATTATTTTATATGCCAGAATTCTGTGATGAAGAAAGGAAAGTTTTTGCTCTCATGACCTACATTTTTCTTACTCTAGAGAATTATCACTAAGTTCTCCAAGTAAAACTACTGACTACTCATTCTGAACAATTCTAGCAGCTGTATATCTCTTTTAGTTACTTTCTTAATGCACAGTCCATGAACCCCACTGCTAAACAGACTTCTTGTCACATGATAGGGACACAATGCCTATTTATGAAATGAAAAATGAATGAATGAGTATATCAAAGCTACTAAAAGTTTAGAATCATTGCATCCCTATTTAAAGTTTTATTCTAAATGCTACAAAATAAGAATATATTTAATTAAATTCCTAAATATCTTCTACTGTCAAGTTACGCATGGGGACAAAGCAGTGAACAAGATTAGCAAAGTCTCTGTCTTCACAGAACATGTAGTTTAGTGTACCCAATAGCTAAGATATATGGCAATGGAAATACAGTGTTTCAGAGATGAAGAATTAGGAGGGACCTGAAACTAGAATTTGGTAATCAGGAAAGACTTCCTGGAAGCGGGCACTGTCTCAGCTGAGGTCTGAAGGATCAGTAGAAGTCAGACATGAAGAGAAAAGAAAAGGGGGGGGGGGAATTGAGGGCAAAGGTCTGGAGATAAACCTCCCTTGACCAAAGAACTCAGCATGGTTCAGGGCAACCGAATGTATTCAGTAGTAGAGAATGAGAGAGATGGAAGCATGAAGCCCTTTGTGAGAAGAGGACAAATGAACACACAAGGATAGCAGAGCAGAGAGACAAAAGGAATAAGAATGTGGACAGGAAACACCAGCTCTAGTAGGTCTTTCTGGGTGTATTTATTTCAGCTACTATTTGAAGGATTTTTGTTATTGTGATGAGACAATGTTCGAATTCACACACAAATGGTATTTAAATGTGGAAGAATTATTTAATTAGGAATATGAAATAACTGGAACCACCCCATACATGCCTGTATTGCCTGAATGTACTTTCTTGGGGTTTTCCAGATATAATGCTCATGAATTCTCAGAATCTCAGGATAATCATTTAATACAACTGTAACCTAAATCTAGGATATGATGACATATTTTGAAGCAAATTTTGCAATTTCCTTGGGTGTACTAAAATTTTTAGAAGAGTGAAAGGGCCTTTTGGTTTTGTTTTATTTTTTGATCCTCAGCAATTTATGTGAATTACTTAAAATAGTAATAAGATTTTCTTCCAAATTATAAATAAATATCCAAATATCTATTCATTCCTAGTTATACACCTAGTAAGAGAAATATTCATGCTATTCAGTTACTATGTTGATTCAAATAAACTCTCCAATCTCTCAAAGAAGGAAATTATAAGTAAGTTTCTCAGTATAACCAGTAATATAATTTCTTTCCCTCTTAACAAAACCAAAAAAAATGCTAAAATTTTTATGAAGGTGTATAATTTCTGTTAACACCTTGGGGAGCAATAATTCAAAATACTAGAACATCCACAGATCTTTGACTACTTTTACTAAATCTTTATATATTCCAACCATATAAGCAAATTGATTATGTGGTGGGGGTGAGGGGGTGGGAATCAAAAGTGATCATTTAATAGTTAACAGGAAAAATATGTATCTTGTTAAACATCTGCAATTTTTTTTAAACAATCTCAAATTCTTGAGTTTATAACTGTTACACACAAAGAAAAAGTATCACAAGATGAACAACATTCCATTATTTTTAAAAACTTAAGCAATGGTTAATTGAAATTAAAATCCACATTATGTTGAAATGAGCCATTTGTAGTTTGGATTCAGCATGTAAGTTTTGATTGAGTGTATCTTATATCTGATATGAATTTAAAAACTCTAAAATTCCCCCAGATTATTCTGTCCACTTATAATAATTTTCATTTAGGCAAAGAGTGACTTTTTAAAAAGGAATAATTGATATTTAAATATTTTCTTTCCCGCTTTACTCAAAGCATGAAAATAATGATTAGTTTTTTGGGTTAAAGAACACTAAAGGAAGAGGGTGACAAATTTAGGGCTTTAGACATTAAGTATAAAATGTATGTAGTTATGCATACTTTATTCACCCAACCTTCAACTTATGTAACTGAAGAGAAAAGATAAAACCAAACCATAACTTTGTATTATCTGGGGTCAATTTCAACACTTCAAACTTTGAATTGAATTCAGAACCAACTCTTCATTTCTTAGGGATGATGACCAAGTACAAGAACTTTCAACAAAGACAATGGGATAATATTGAATATATTTTTGAAATTTCTGTATTTAGTTTGTTGTCTGGCATGAATACTAATAGGATAGCATTTTGTGATTTAATTTCTTATTAAACAAGTATCAGAGATTGATTGAATTACTAAATCACTCATGCATTTATTTAATTTGTTAACTTGTTGACTCAATAATCAAATTGAGCACCTACTATGTGCCGGCACAAAATGAAGCACTGAGAAAATGAAAACACATATCTCTTAGTTCTTGCTCTCAACAAAAGACTGATAAATACTGAACAGACACTGAAGCAAAAATGGAAGCTATTCTAGAACTTCTCTATTTGAACCAATATTAAATAACAAAGCATACTTAAATTGTATATTTATTATATCTTCTTGCTATATGACACACAGAATCAAATTTTCCCAAGCCCTTCATAAGACATTATAAAACTCTCCAAGCATGTGGCAGATTGGTTTTTATTAGTTTGTGACGTAATGCATCTGAATGGTCACTGGACCAAGAAGTTCTGCTTAAACCTCTGTGCAGCTGCTGATAGAGGAAAGACAGGTGGAAAAGGGGAACAAAGCCAAAAACTCTTTCAGAAATTTTACTCTTACAGTTTGTTGGAGCTCCTCATTACTCCCCACTCTACACACATACACACACACACACACACACACACACACACCTCTACACAAATAGTAGTATCAAAGTGTCATGTTACTGTTGACACCATATATTTTCTTTTATTTAAAATATATAGAAACAGAGGTAACAGGTAAATTCTTTATATACTTTGAACTCTCATTTACATATATTAAACGCTTTTATTTAAATGCTAATAATGAATTGTGTTTTACAACTAAACCTCAAAGTCTAGCACATTGTATTCTAATAATCAAATGTAATCCTTGGAAAAAACTCAGAATAATTTAGTCTGGAAGTCATGAAAAAAAAAATATTATTCACAAGGGCAAAATATAAACACCAAGTACGCTGGGAGCCTAGAGCATCAGAACCTAAGCCTGCCCTGAACTTCAGGGAAGGCTTTTTTTTTTAATAGAAGTCACTGCAGGAAATAAATCTTCAAAGAGCCACAGTAATCAGTTAGGCATTGTGGTGATAGGATGACCCTGGTGGGAGTGGAAGGAGGGATGAGGGCATTCCAGGCAGACTGACAGAATGAGAAAAGGCACATACATGAGAAGAAAAAAAAAAAACCCAAGAGCGTGGGTAGCTTTCATTTCCTGTAGATGTGAGGGCAGCACATGAGAAGCTGGAAAAGGAGGCTGGATGCGCCAACAGAGACAGGAAACTTTATCCCAGAGCAGCCACAGCAGAGCCTCTGACAGGCTTTTGTTTGCAGAGATCTCTCTAGCAGCTGGGAGGCAGATGGATTCGGGGGTCAAGGCAGCTGGCCGGGAGCCTGGTTGGGTGGCTGGGGGCACTGGCCATTTGAGGAATGATGAGAAACTCTACAAACACAGTGATACTATGAAAAAGAGGGTCCAAGGTCGAAAAGTTTTCGAAATAAAACGGGCAGAGTTTAGAATGGGTGATTGGATTTGGGTGGGGGTGGGTGAGGAAGAAGGAAGCAATAAGGAAAATGTCTAGATCTGCAGAGGGAGGGACCGGGTGAAGGAGGGTGCCACCTAGAACAGCATACGGAACGCAGGCGCAGCAAGTGTGAGGGAGAACAGAGCCCGCTTAGGAACTCCAGCTCTCAGTTCTCACAATCTGCTGGAGCTAATGAATTCCATTAAAAAGAGACACGCTTCCCAAAGGTAAAGTAAAGCTGTGCATCAGCTTTCTTACCTGACCTGGCAAGGTGATGTCTATTCTTGCTGAGACTTCAATCCAGGGTCATCATTCACTTAGACGTTTAAAAATCAGAATTGAAGTCTAAGAAAAAAAGATATTACATATAAAATTGAAGATAATTTTATATTACATATAAAATTGAAGATAATTTTATATTACATATAAAATTGAAGATAAGAGTCGGCAAATAAGCATTTCACGCTATAGTCAGTTTCTCAAAAGCTTGACCTATTTGGATGCTTCACATATAGTGGACAGACAAACTTTTTCAGTGATGACAAACTTTACATAGTTTTTGCTGGGGGCTGACTTCTCAGTGAATACTTATTTTATACTCACACAACTCAATGCTATAGGCACTGCTATTTTTTATTTACATATTAAAAAGGTTGAAACTGAGGCCTAGAATCACACACTAGAAGTGGCAGAGCTAAGATTCGATCCTGGACAATCTAATTTCCCAGTCTGTGCTCTTTGCTGTCACACGAGGCTGTATTTCTCACAATATGAAGAGGTCTTAACAAGAATGTTCACCTTGTTCTGACATCATCTTAAAACAGAATCCAATTACAGTTGCAAAAATGATACAGTAATACCGGATTATTTTATGTTTTAAAAATTGCAAACTTGAGGACATCTCAGGTGGTCCAGTGGCTAAGACTCTGAGCTCCCAGTGCAGAGGTCATGGGTTCGATCCCTGGTCAGGGAACTAGATCCCACATGCTGCAACCAAGACTTGAGATGCTGATGGCCCGTGAGCTTAGTTAAGAGGAGTTAGGCTGTGGCACCTCACCAGATGAGTGGTCCCCTCACTGCCCCTCACTGAACCTGGAGTCTTAGCCCCCTGGTCTTATACAGAATTCGCTTTCTGCGGCCACAGAAATTCAGTCCCACCTCATCAACAGAGGTTTCCTGCCTACACAAACCTCTTAAAATTCCTGTTTGATGCTGGGTCACAGAAACTTCATCTTTGTTTTGAATATTTTCTTTCATTTATTTAACTCTTAGTACTTAAATATTTTATCTATCAATCCAATGGGTTTGAAACTGAAAAAAATTATTATGCAAAAGAATGTTCACCTTGTTCTGACATCATCTTAAAACAGAATCCAATTACAGTTGCAAAAATGATACAGTAATACCGGATTATTTTATGTTTTAAAAATTGCAAACTTGAGGACTTCTCTGGTGGTCCAGTGGCTAAGACTCTGAGCTCCCAGTGTAGGGGTCCTGGGTTTGATCCCTGGTCAGGGAACTAGATCCCACATGCTGCAACCAAGACTTGAGATGCTGATGGCCCGTGAGCTTAGTTAAGAGGAGTTAGGCTGTGGCACCTCACCAGATGAGTGGTCCCCTCACTGCCCCTCACTGAACCTGGAGTCTTAGCCCCCTGGTCTTATACAGAATTCGCTTTCTGCGGCCACAGAAATTCAGTCCCACCTCATCAACAGAGGTTTCCTGCCTACACAAACCTCTTAAAATTCCTGTTTGATGCTGGGTCACAGAAACTTCATCTTTGTTTTGAATATTTTCTTTCATTTATTTAACTCTTAGTACTTAAATATTTTATCTATCAATCCAATGGGTTTGAAACTGAAAAAAATTATTATGCAGGGCCTTGTTCTGTCTTTGAAAGAAGTAATGGTTTCTTACTTTTGTAACCAAAGTGATACATACTCACACATTTAAATAAATTTTAACTAAAATTAGATTTAAATGTAGTTCGTTTTAACAGATGTAATCTTCATATTTCAAAGGATTAACACTCAACAAACTCATCACAGTGGGTTAGGAAATATATTTAAGAAACCAACAAAGAAATCACTGAAGTTCTTTGAGAATCTAATAGTTCTAGTCATTGAGAATCTAGAGATGTATAAAAGTTCTAACTCAAGTATTTTAAGGATAGTACAGGGATGGTCTTGACAGACATCTACAGATAAGAAGGCAGAAAGGGTTTCTGAACACATTCCTTTACACATATTTTTGTTCTTCTCAATAAAGACTTATGTATCACTATCATATATATATGTGTGTGTGTGTTAAGTCACTTTAGTCGGGTCTAACTCTTTGTGACGCTATGGACCGTAGCCCACCAGACTCCTCTGTCCACGGGATTCTCCAGGCAAGAATACTGGAGTGGGCTGCTGTTTCTTACTTTGGAGGATCTTCCTGACCCAGAAATTGAACCCATGTCTCTTATATCTCCTGCATTGGCAGGCAGGTTCTTTACCACTAGCACCACCTGGGAAGCCTATATATGTATATATATATATAGAGAGAGAGTGCGCGCGCATGAGACCTTTAGAAGTAATAAAAACTAATATTGAGTGATTACTATATGACCAGCACTTTTCAAGTATTTTATGTGTTTTAATTTCCTTAATTCTCAAAGTGTGTACAGAAGTATTAATTTCATTTCACAGATGCCAACATAGAAAAGTAGTTTATATAAGGCCACAGAGTTGGTAAATAACGGACTATTTTCAAAATATTTAACGGAATCTTTTTTTTACAGTGTATTTTCATTAATTTAAAAGCATAAGTTTTTTTTTTCCCAAAAATATAACAAAATACAATTTAAACTGTGACCAGCATAACTTATTTGAATAAAGACCATGACATGCTACAAATACGACAAGATGCTGTTGAAGAAGTTGATATCTGGAAAAATTTTATGAGAAATTTTTCTGCTGGAAATACAGTGATTGAATTTTTTTTTTCAACAAGGAATAAAAACACATGGCCTGAATTTACAACATTAAAACAGAAACTGATCTAATTTTTTTGAGATATGTATTCATTACAATCTAAAGCAACACAGTTATGAAGCACACAACCTTCCTACAGTTCTAGGGTGTTTAATCATGTTTGCACTTTGGAGAAATAAAAACCCTACTTGCTGTTTTCTTATTCCCATAAATTGCCCAGTGATGTTTAAGTTATTTATCATACTCAAGTATTTTATAGGTAGTGATGATAAATTTATTTCTGCCCCTCCACAGTATACAGGAGACAAATTCAATACTGTGGTAGAAGATAGTGCAGTATTAAAAAGAAAGAAAGGCAAGAGTGTTCTTTTACTCCTAACTTAAGTAACTCATGTTCATGTCATATTGATTGATTTTATTAATGTCCATGAAATGGAAATCTCTATCTGCTTTAGTGTACATGAAAGAAGAAAAATGACACCACCATTTTGGAAAACAGCTTCAGTGTCATACAGAGTTAAACAGATGCCTAACATTCACACAACAAAGAAAAAAGGAAATATTTTTTTGTACCAAATTCATGCATGAATGATCATAGAAGTTTTATTTGTAATAACTCCAAACTGGGAAAAAAAAAAAAAAAACACATGGCCTGAATTTACAACATTAAAACAGAAACTGATCTAATTTTTTTGAGATATGTATTCATTACAATCTAAAGCAACACAGTTATGAAGCACACAACCTTCCTACAGTTCTAGGGTGTTTAATCATGTTTGCACTTTGGAGAAATAAAAACCCTACTTGCTGTTTTCTTATTCCCATAAATTGCCCAGTGATGTTTAAGTTATTTATCATACTCAAGTATTTTATAGGTAGTGATGATAAATTTATTTCTGCCCCTCCACAGTATACAGGAGACAAATTCAATACTGTGGTAGAAGATAGTGCAGTATTAAAAAGAAAGAAAGGCAAGAGTGTTCTTTTACTCCTAACTTAAGTAACTCATGTTCATGTCATATTGATTGATTTTATTAATGTCCATGAAATGGAAATCTCTATCTGCTTTAGTGTACATGAAAGAAGAAAAATGACACAACCATTTTGGAAAACAGCTTCAGTGTCATACAGAGTTAAACAGATGCCTAACATTCACACAACAAAGAAAAAAGGAAATATTTTTTTGTACCAAATTCATGCATGAATGATCATAGAAGTTTTATTTGTAATAACTCCAAACTGGGAAAAAAAAAACCACAATGTCCATCAACAAATGAATAAACAAACATATTGTGGTATACCCAAACTTGAAAATACTACTCAGCAATAGAAATGAATGAACTACTGACACATTCAACAATGTAGATGAATCTCAAAATAATTATTTTGAATGAAAAAAGTCGGCCACCTGCAAAAAAAAAAACCAAACTGTTCATACTGGATAAATCCATAGAAAAATGAAAACTAAGTTATGGTGGCAGAAAACAGATTAGTGGTCATGGGCTGGGATGGGGGCATAGACAGCAGAGAAGGGAGGGAAGGAGACGAGGAAACTTTTAAGGGAGAGAAGTATGTTCACAATCTTTTCGACATGATGCTTTCCTCTGTGTGTGTATGTGTATGTGTGAAAACTTATCGAATTCTAAAATTTGAGTTTACACAGTATATTTATGTTAATTATTCCTTAATAAAGCTTTTAAACTTTTTTAAAATAATAAATACAACATAAAAGGAATGACTGTGAAGGCAGTAATCTAAAACCTTTCTTAAAAGGCTTATCTGTATCATCAGTATGGAAAGTTATTCACTTGTTATTTTAGAATAGCTACTAGAGTATAACTGTACTGCATTTAAATTTTTTCCCAGAATCCACTTAACAGATTGTAATTGCTTGTTGAAGCTAATCTAAGTAATCTTTTTAAATGGGTTTCTTTTTTCTGCCCTGCAACTAATACATTTTAGAGTGTGTTCTTATTATAATTTTCTTGAAAATTTTTTAAAAAGTGGACATTTGATGCTCACTAATATAAGAAAACTGCCTTTCCATAAATATTCCCCATAGCTAACTTTCTTTGCTATAATATTATCCAATTATTGATTATTCTTTTCCAGAAAATCAGGTTAAATTACTCCTAATTTCCAGAAATGGACTGATAGCACATTCTTTTATGTACTTGTTCAAAAAGAAAAGTGGATTGACCGTCTTCAAATTTCCCATTTCCTAATTGCAGTAGCTAAAGGACTGTCCAATATATCAGCCTAATGACGGCCCCTAACAACAGTGTGATTCAACAGCTAGAAAACCCTCACTCCCAGATTGCTTGAGGACATTTACCCTAAATCATAGAAACCATGGGCTCCACCTAGTGG